GACGTCGGGAGCTATAATAGGTTTGGTAACCAGGCTATGTCTGGGGTTTGCCTTCGGTAGAGTTCACTTAAATAACCTCGCAAGAAAAACAAAAGATGGACTAAGTCGTTTTATCGTTTAGAAACAGAAAGTCCGACGGATAAATTCTAAACCGCAGTGGCGCCCGCCGGTTTGAACAGACAACATTTTGATTTAAGTGCCCTACAGGTAAATTCCGTTGCCATAGCAACGCAGTATCGAGTGTTTTGGGTCAGACGTCAAGGGGTCATCACAGGTCATTGAGACAGATGTTTGTTGTACTTAGAAAAATAATAGGAGACTCGTATTGCGCATGAATTTGACTACATGTTAATAGAAATGTTAAGACTCCAATCATGTAAACTTTATCAAGGAGGAACCACCTAACCGTACCTTGTTACATTGTGTATGACACTGTTCTCTACTAGCCTCCACCAGGCCTTTCTACGGGAATACGGATCGTAGAATTCGGAAAAAAAAAAGGAAAACTGGCCAAGGGAGCCCGGCCGCGGGGAGGTAGTTTCTTTCCCTCCTGCGCGGCCAGTCAAACCTACAAGGCGGCCAAACTACCCTGGCTATGTATAGCCAGCGTTGTTAATCTGGTAGAGACTAAGTTCTCTCCCCTCATGACCTCGATTAAAAAGCGGCCATGGCCCCAGCGGGCAAATTTTAGTATACTTTAATGAACAAAAGTTTTAAAAAGTATAATCTGTATTAAATGTTCTAGAAAAATACGTTTGGTGCTGGGTTTTTTTCAATAACTGTATCTGGCTCTGTGGTACACCAATGGTTAATTTAATTAGACTGGGACGAATTGGGTAAAATATGGATAATTGGTCTGGGGCAAAATTTCCGTTTTTCAAAGGACCTCTGCTCATTGCATTTGGCCAGACGCACAGGCACCGCTATCCTTAACAATAACCGGTGAAAAGGAGGCTTTTCGTCCAGCACTTACGCTGAGCCGAATAACTCCCGTTTTGAAGCACGCTTGACCCACATATTACTTGTTGTTGTGTGGACAAAGCGGCTTCTATTGTTAGAACCCGGCCTGCGGCTGAGTCCTGTTCGCTTGGCTAGGTCCTGATTATCGAGGGCCTGCATGGAGGTGTGTGTGTTACAAGTGATTATGAATTACTAGTACGCAAAATTTTCACCGCCGATTACGAAGTGCGTTAAATTCTTAGATTAAAAAAAAATCACGAAGTAAGTAGTTTTAATACGGATTAAGTTTAACGTTGTAAAAGGGTAACTGCCTACGCTTTACTTTATTTATTTATTTATTTCAACTTTATTTACACGTAAAAAGGCCATGGAAAAACAGGAAAGCCTTTAAATTCCCTGACAAAAAATATCCGTATTTATTATTATACGTAATTACGTATAGAATGAAAACTGATTACGAATTGCGTTGCTTTTTGGCAGCCGCCTACGGATTGCGAAGACTAATAAAAAGGCCTTACTAAAAATACCCCATGCAGATCCTCATAATTGGCCGGCGGGAAAAACCCACTTCGGCGTGAAACGCGAGAAAAAGTCGTCTGCATTGGACGTTCCGTCATGACGTCATGGGTCAGGTAGCAGCCTAGCAGCAGACGGACCGGTTACATACAGAGAAAACCGGGGGCTGTTCTCGCTTCATCTGTTCGCGTATTTTTTTCCTCGCGCGTTCGCTACGTTTTGTTTCACCAGCTGGTACATTTTGGAGCAGGATCGGCGAATTGGGAAGGTTTCGAGTGCGGAATATCATCACGGCGGCTTGAGAAACGTGTCGGACCGCAGTCATATTGAGCTACTAAGGTGTGCGGGTTTCATACGTGTCACTTAGGCAGGCTGGATACTGCACAGTGTTGTGTATTGTTCGGGCTACAAGTGCACAACGATTACAACTGGAAACAGGAATAGTCTTTGCGCTTATAGAAGATACACGGGAAAGGACAACCCTTGCAGTATTTGCTCGGCTATATAATACAGGTAAGATTTAATATCATGTTTTTTTTTTGTCTGGCACCCTTAAATAGTGTGTTCGAGACGCCGCCGCAAAACGGCGGGTCCGTCGTAAAACCTGCAATTGTTGCGTTTTGCAGGTGACAGGTGGGCGGGCTGCTACACCGCAGATGTGGCGACTTGGGTTCTGTTTTGCTACACGTTAAATCGTCTGGTACTGAATCTCACTTCTACAGTTTATGCATGCATACCTTATAGCAGCAGACCATTGTATACTGTAATACCCTTAAAACCCTTAAGGGCAATCCCGACATTTAAGATGTAACATCATACTCCCTACTCAAGTCTTCAAGATGACGGATTATTTTCTGTCTCATTGTTGGCCTGGTTTTTTATTTCCTTTTATTATTTTTGCATGAACGGCTGATCGCGCAGAGCCACGTTTGACTAACATGACGTAATCCACCCGGATTTACCGTGCGTCCGGTGGGCGATACCATTCAATAACATCGGGGGGTGGTGGGTTATTCTTACTAACATAAAATTGGGAGGTAACATTGTTAAAATCATGGACATTAACATGCAGACACAGTCACACATACAGGCAAATGCACGTCATAGCTAACGCAGACAGGCACAGACACACATAAACATAAACACACACACACACACACACACACACACACACACACACACACACACAAACACACACACACACAAACACACACACACACACCACACACACACATACATAAACACACACACACAAACACAGACAGGCATGGAAACAGAGTCGTACGAGGCAAAAACAATCCTTCACCCTCTCAGAGCCAAGTGATAATCAATGCTTACAGAGGTCACCGCCGTCCTTTCCTTTGTGCTTTTAACTAATTATGTTCGGTTCGATGATGTGGAGTCCTGCCAAGTCCTTCCAGCCACTTGCCTGTGTCCGCAGACCAGTTTTGTCAGACACCAGATGTCATTGAATACTACTCTCCAAGCAGAGGTTTGGGTTATTTTTGGCGTGTTATTAGGCTATTGTATCAGGATTTCTTTTTTGCACTGGTTTGGGTGAAAAACAATTCCAGGGCAAAAACGGGCAAAAAAGCCTAAAAAATACACCAAAAATACTCCAAACCTCTACTTGGAGAGTAGTGAATACAAGAACTCTCAGGCACTTGGCGCTCCCAGAACAGATGTCTAACCTACCGACGCCCCATGAATACGTCTGAACAATCTGATTTACTCGTTCCCATAAACACCTCGCTAGAAAGTCAGTTACGATTATTTATTAAGTTACCTCCCAAATTTTAGCCTCCTGTGCAGGCCTCTGGGCGGGTGGGAGTTTTGACACTGCGTTTTGTAGAATTTCTAACGCGTTATTTTAATTGGCGGCCGTCCTACAACCAGCTGTGGTGGGTACAAACCCTCTCTGGGCGGCTGGTTGTAGGATGGCCGGCAAAAGAACGCGTTAGAAATTCTACAAAACGCTGTATCAAAACTCCCACCCGCCCAGAGGCCTACACAGGAGGCTACCAAATTTAACCGTTTATCTATAGAAACAAACGCTACTCGCTAAAAGGTCTAGATCTGCGCTTCATCCGCGAATGATAGAAAAATTTACTCGGGTCTTGAACGTAGTGAATAAAACCTCATTGAACAGAAGACCGAAATCTCGTGCGAGTTGAACGCAGGTCACTTTTATAATTCAATGAGTGATTATAACTGCATATCGCCATACTTCAACGAGCCCGTTCGAACATGTTGCTTGGCAACGTGAGCCGGTCGCTAGGCAACCCAAGCCTGTTGCTAGGCAACCCGTCTGCTGCACAAGCTGTCGTCTGTTTCTCGCCCCAGGCTGTAATGACCGGGTCAGACCCGATCGATGATTTTGCGGATTAATTTCCCGCGAGTTTTGCACAATTTACTGTAAAGCCGTTCCGGTGCTGTTTTTCACACGTGCTGCGTGGGCGGTGATTTGCTTATTAATCCGGCCACCGGATCGAAAGGTCGCGGGTTTGAATCCCGGATATTGTATTAAAAGCCGCCTTATTGTTTCTCCATTGTTTTGCTTAGAAGGCTACTGGTGCTTTTTTCATATGTCATAAACATTATGAGAGAAATTTTGTAGTACAAATATCGTGCTGTATACAACTTTTGACGTATAACTGTTTATTGATTGATTGATTGATTGATACATTGATAGATAAATAGATAGATAGATAGGTTTATTGATTGATTGATTGATTGATTGATTGACACATTGCAGCCATATGACGCTGGAGCTGCTCCCAGCCATGACACTGCAGCTGACCCACCTGCTGACGACTGCCGTCGGAGGTTTTCTCGGCATGCTGCTGATCTATAACTGTTTATTGATGACTGGATTGAGATATTGATTGAGATATTTATTGATAAATTGACTAATGCATTGATTGATTGATTGATTGATTATTTGATTGTTTGATTCCAACCATACCGGCTGCGGGCGGGTTCCTGGGCAAGCTACTGATCAGTTATTATTGATTAACTGATTGATTGATTGATTGATTGATTATTTTAAGAATCTTTTAATTGATTGATTGCAGCCATGACGCTGTACCTGCTCCCAGCCATGACACTAGAGCTGACCCATCTCCTGTCTGCTGCGGGAGGTTTTCTCGGCATGTTGCTGATCTATCGGTTCGTCAGTCCTCGGGTCGTGCCGTTGATCTATAACTGTTCACTGATTGACTGATTGATTGATTGATTGATTGATTGATTGATTGATTGACATATTCCAGCCATGACGTTAAAACTGATCCAACTCCTTCCGGCTGCCGGCAGGTTTCTGTTCAAAGAAATGCTGATGATCAGTTATCGCTGAGATTGATTATTTGAATGATCGATTAATTTATTGATTAATCAATTAGTTAATTTATTGATTGATTGATTGATTCCAGCCATGATGTTAGAACTGACAAATTCCCTGGGCATGACGCTGGAACTGACCCACCTGCTGAGTGCTGCCGGCGGTTTTCTCGGCATGTTGATGATCTACTGGTTCGTCAGTCCTCGGGTCGTGCCGCTCTGCTTTCCATCATACACCGCGCTGCCATGGGAGAAGAGGATACAGGTCAACGAGATGTGAGCAATTTCTTGTCTTATCTTCAAAGTTCATCTGTGTTGGTAGAAGTCATTTTGCAGCAAGTTTAAACTGTAATTTCCAACACAAGACATTGAACTCACCCAAATTTTCGACTGTACAACTCCAGTCTTTGTCAAGTTAAAAACTTGCTGCATAATGAGATGTGAGAAAATTTGTTTTCAAATCAGAATCTAGTTTAGATATGCCTAAATGGGTTGGGGTTATCATCAGACATGGTTCTGGTTTAATAGTCTCCAAGAACGTAGACTTGCCCCAGACACGGTTCTGGATACGCGTGGATAACCATGTCTGGGCATGGTTCTGGATAAAGGACGGTTGTGGATACAGCTGTATTTTCTTTGTTGTAGCAGCTGCTTCTGTTGGAAACTACAATGCTTCTGGTAGAACAGGCTTCAAGTTGGAAAAAGCGATCGAGAATTTACAAAATTAGTCACTGTGTCCCAGATCCACCCTTGATCGCCCGCAAAGGCAAGAAAATGTTCAGACGACTTATTTTTCTCTCAGCGTTCTTTTTTTTTACAAATCTAAAGGTAGACAGTCTTGAAAATCACACATACAATGTACTACCTATTAATTAATTGAAATGTTTTTCTAGCTTCATGGCCGGGAGTCACTCCGTGATCGTGTGTCTCTGTTCCTGGGTGGCGTACTTCACTGTGGAGGAGCTCAAACCTACAACTCTCTGGTGAGTTACTACAGTTATAACTGTTACAATAACTTAATTAAATATGAATACATTGCAAATAAAAGATCCATAGCATTTAGACATGCTTCATCAGTACAGAGCCTTGATACATAATGTTATATTAACATGAACATTATCTAATTATCTATCATGTGAACTAAATTCTCCTCCTCCCCACTCCAGGTACGACTGCGCCATAACCAGACACACCAGCGCTTTCTTCTGGGGCTACAGCATCGCAGGTAACACTGATCATTGAAATCTGATACTTAAGCTTACTTATTTAGCCGCTGTACCTTTACGTATAAGAAGGAAAAAGTGTGCAATATTTTGCCAGCAGACCACCGCCACATTTTATTTATTGTTTATTTATTTATTTGTTTCAGACCTGATGTTGATGATCTGCTACCCGCATTTCGGAGATATCTACTTCCTCATGCACCATGCCGTGTCTCTCATCGCCGGCTTCTTCGGCATGGTGAGTAGCGTGACGTCACGAGATGACGTCACAAACCCATGACGTCACAAACTCATGACGTCACAAACTCATGACGTCACAAACGCATGACGTCACGAACCAATGACGTCACGAACCCATGACGTCACGAATACATGACGTCACGAACACATGACGTCACAAACCACATACGTCACAGAACGTCATGGTCGCCATCTTGGTTGGTTAAACCTACTCTGCGGGCAAAGGTTTTGGGGGCGTTTTTATCGTTTTTTTCTTTGGTTTTGTACTGAACAAATGGTGTTTTCACACATGTCCTGTTGCCTTCCCCTCCCCACAGGCTTACACCTCCATACCGTACTACGTCAACGTGTTTCTGATGATGGAAATGACGAACCCGTTTGTAAACTTTAGGTAAGTTGTGCCCTATTATATTTGTATTCTTATATTCTTTCACTCACGCCATGAATGTTTTGCCATGTTCATTTTCGTCAAATCCTTGCCAAGAAGTCATGTTTTTCAGTTATTCGTAAAAAGGCATGAAAATGCCATGGTTTGTATAATTTCCCGTGGATTCCTGCTGAACGCGCTGGGTTACCCTGAGAAGAGCCTCCTGTTTTCTCTAGGTTTTTCAGTTATTAATAAAAACTGTCGCTCACGGTATGGCCATGAATAATCATGAAAACATGCATGAAAATACCGTGGTTTGTGTAGAAACACTCTTCAATATTGCAGAACACTGAAAAAAAAGTATTCGACTACTGCAGATTCCTGCTGAAGGCCCTGGGGTACCCTGAGAAGAGCCTCCTGTTCTCCTCCACCGGCGTGAATATAACATGGTTTGTATATGTTCCCGCAGATTCATGCTGAAGGCCCTGGGTTACCCTGAGAAGAGCCTGAGTTTTTCACTGTTTCTGTAGTCATGGTTTTTTTCGTGATTTCCCGCAGATTTCTGCTGAAGGCTCTGGGCTACCCTGAGAAGAGCCTCCTATTCTCCTCCACCGGCGTGAATATAACATGGTTTGTATATATTTCCCACAGATTCCTGCTGAAGGCTCTGGGTTACCCTGAGAAGAGTATTTTGTTACCGTGGTTTGTATATTTTTCCGGCAGATTCCTGCTGAAAGCGCTGGGTTACCCTGAGAAGAGTATTTTGTTACCGTGGTTTGTATATTTCCACACAGATTTCTGCTGAAGGCTCTGGGCTACCCTGAGAAGAGCCTCCTATTCTCCTCCACCGGCGTGAATATAACATGGTTTGTGTATCTTCCCGCAGATTCCTGCTGAAGGCTCTGGGCTACCCTGAGAAGAGCCTCCTGTTCTCCTCCACCGGCGTGAATATAACATGGTTTGTATATTTCCCCGCAGATTCCTGCTGAAGGCTCTGGGTTACCCTGAGAAGAGTATTTTGTTACCGTGGTTTGTATATTTCTGGACTACCCTGAGAAGAGTGTCCTGTTCTCCACCGGCGTGAATATAACATGGTTTGTATATTTTCACGCAGATTCCTGCTGAAGGCTCTGGGTTACCCTGAGAAGAGTGTCCTGTTTTTCACATACATATTTTCCACACAGATTCCTGCTGAAGGCGCTGGGCTACCCGGAGAAGAGCCTCCTGTTCTCCTCCACCGGCGTGCTCATCTTCGTCACGTGGTGGATCGCGCGCCTCGCTTTCATTCCCATCTACGCCTACCACATGGCGCAGCTCATGCGCACTGGGGACTTCTTCAAGGTAAAATATGCGCAGTTGTTCCGTGAATAGTTTCATCAGGTTGGTAAGACACTGCTGAGTAAAGAGACTTTTTACACAACCAAGTCTTTTATTCAGCCGACGTTTCGGTGACTGTCTGTCACCTTCCTCAGGGCAATTCTGAGGAAGGTGACGGTGACCGAAACGTCGGCTGAATAAAAGACTCGGTTGTGTAAAAAGAGTCTCTTTACTCTATGTGTAGTTGTTGTTTCCAAGTTCATTTGCATTACATCCCACTGCAAATATGTAGTTTTTTCATCTTCATTTTTATCATAAGAAGTCGTGAAAATTAAGCAGAAGTGATCACACTGTCAGGCAATTCCTTTCGGCTAAGATATGCCATGTTTTTCATTGTTATCAAATCTATGATTTGACATTTACTTCATGAAACCATCAGGGATTCGTGTCAAGAAAACTAATGATTTGCCATGCCTTTGTGTTTTTCCATCAGATTGAGTTGCCCATGCAGTTGACCAGCGTCTTTGGGTACGCGTTTTTCACGGTCCTGAATCTAGCGTGGTTCCATGTCATGAAAATTAACCATGGTTTTGTGTTTTCCATCAGATTGAGTTGCCCATGCAGTTGACCAGCGTGCTGGGCTACGCGTTTTTCACGGTCCTGAATCTAGCGTGGTTCCGCGTGATTCTGAAGCTCTTCAAGCGTGAAATCCGGGGCCTGATCGAGCTGAGCGGACACTCCAAGAGGGCGCAGCTGCAGGAAGCCAACAGCAAAAAGGGCGGTTAAACTTTTGCACGGTCAGCCTACCATGGTGTCTGGTCTATCATAGTTTGGAAAGATAATGTAAAGATCCAACCAAACATTGGCCACAATGGCCATATATATATAAAGAGGTGATCACTAGTACAGGTTTGACTGTGTAATAATGACCAGGTGGGTCTATTAGAAGTTTGACTCCTTCTTTGCTGTTAAACTGCACCAACTCTTGGAAGGTAGCCTCCGTAGCAGGCTTATAGAACTGGGGGTTTGGTGGTCTTCGGCTGTTTTCTGATTAGCCCAGTTCTAACGGGGGTAATTCAACCAGGCCGGCTATGTTGTCTATATGCAATCAGAAAACAGCACATAAAAGCTCCCAAAACCCCCAGTTTTTGGCATGCTATGGAGGCTACATGGTCTTGGGAGGCTGCTTTGTCGTGAAGATCATCCTTGCGAAGAACGAAATATCAGCACTAGCTGTTTTGGAGCTGAACATTCTAAACAAATTACAGTAGAGGAATTAGATGTATATGTATCCATGGTTGTACTTTTCATGTAGTTTAAGGCATCTACTGTTGGCTCTTGTGGTTCCGAGTATGTGAAAGATTTTACATCCAAGGGCTGAAGATAAATTGTATGAAAGCAAACAATACTCACAAACAGGTCACACAAATTCAATTTGACGATTGTTGGAATTTTACAAACCATAGCTGGAAAGGGTAATCAACAACAAAGAGGGCATACAGTCAAATCCAGTTTTCATCCATGTTCTTAATTTTCCTTTTTCAAATTGCAAAAAAAAAATCACAAATACACATAAAAGCACTAGTAAGCTAGCTAATGCTGTGCCATTTTTGAAAATCGACCGAGAAACAAGGAAACTAACTGGTGAAGCCAAATGGTGTATTTATCTAGTGAAAAGAGTCAATGTTGGCTTTCAAGTGATTTTAAAGAGAAGACCACATTTACAAGGATTTTTGGACAACAAACTAAGAATTTTGATACAATTCTATTAACCTTCTAAGTATTCTCAATGAATTTTGAGTGAAATATAAGTAGTATTCTCAGACTGGTAACTGTTGTCAGTGTCAGGCATTTCTAGTACATATAGGGGCTTGTGATGTAATAAGGTATTCATATTTATTATCAATATTGAAATGAGGAATAGCTGCACTATATTAGTGTTCAAGTAAATTTCTGATTTGGTCATTTTACAAATTACAAAGCCTGGCTATTTGGAAGCCCAAAACCAGGTGGCATATAATTTGGAGGTACTTGAGGTATTAGTATCGATTTGTTATTTATGTATACCTTCACAGAAGAAAAACATTTTCTTGCTGTTTATTTTGCTGCTTCTCAAACAAATAAGGTCAATGACCTGGACCAGAAGAGCTGCTGTAGCAGACACCCTGTGGTGTCGGATTACATCTTGTGTATGTACATGTAGCAAGTGGCAGGACAGTTGGAGGGGCTGGTCTCTATATATGCATGTGCTTGAGTAAGAATAAACGGAGTAGTTTGTCGGCCATGTGAATGTTAACATTATGTATATAAATTTTGATTTGCAAATGTTACCTTAAAGTTCTATTTCAGCCCTCTATTGGTGAGAAAAACCCTTAAGGGCCGAGTCCCAATGCCATATTTGTACCTACCACAGCTGCGAGGAAGGCTAAATATGCTTTTTTAGCTGATTGCTTCTCAACTTAGAAAGGATGAACTGTTCTGATATGAAAGATTTGAAGTTCTGAAATGTATATGCCATAACAGTGAGTTCTTTTAAAGCCCAGTGCCGTAGAATGTATGTGCAATGGTAACGGTATGTTGCATAAAATATAGAACATTGATGTTAAGAATATGCTGCACAGCCATATTGTGGTAATCATGACATAATATGATGATGTTGATGGTATCTATTGAGGAAGAATTCGCATGCAGAGCATACTCAACTTTTAATCATAAGTTGTATGGTGAAGTTTAGAGCATTGTGAGGTAGTGTTGTCAAAGTCTAACAGTATTATACAATGTGTCTTTTCGTTACTTTGAGTGCATAGATTTATATGCTGCTACTGTTTGCTCAGTTGGTATTTCTATTTTGTATTATTTTAAGCAGACATGTTAACTAATTTTATTTCAACTCGAAGTTGAATATCTGTATATTGAGTTATATTTGATAGAGCAGAGCCTATATACTTGGAAATTCTCATTTATTTATAGTTTCTAAAGCAAAATGTTGGGAGCTTTAAATTCAAATGATTCTGGGTGATGTCAATTTTCTTCTCAGAAAAACATGCATACTTTCTTGCCGGTTACTTAATGTCAGTCATAACACTAATACTTTTCAAAAGTATGTTTTGTATATTTGAAATCAGACTCAAGGGTCTTACAAGTAGTAAGAGTTTTATGTCTAAGATATCTAAAGTATTACTTATTGTGAAAGGTGAAAAATAAGGAGTCTTAGCAGGGTTAAGGCATTCCTAAGATTTGAGGCCATTTCTTAAGAAAGAATGTACTTTCTTGCCATGAGTGTTGACTGTTGTATATTCATGCCATTCATAAACTATGTCTAAAGTATGTACTTACATGTAGTAGGCATGTCTTTCTGAAGCCTTGGAAGCTGTTTAAAAATTCTAGTGTCTCTCCAGATTTTTAATGATAAGCTTTGCCATGTTGTTAAGTGTATTTCATATTTATTATACTTCTTGTAAGAGGTGAAAAGAATAATACAAAGCCTCTACAGGGTTGACTACATAGCAGAAGTATTTATAGCCAGTGGTATTTTCCTTGCTGTTTTTACATGTATTGGTATGAGATGTTTCTATAGAAGGTACTGTGAACTGGTTGGTGTACAATAAACAGTTGTCCTAACCCATTAATGGGTGAAACCTTCTGTACTGCTGCTTTGTTTGAATTATTACCTGGGGTTGAGATATCGGCTGGCATAATAATGGAATAACACCAACAAATTGTATGGCCTTATCTTTTTTAATTTTAATCCTAATGGTCAGAAACATAATTATTTTGCAAGGATATCCTGATCATCTGGAATGAGGTACAGTTATTACAGCCTGACTACAAACTTTTGTGGCTGCCAAATCATCACAAATTTGTTTAACAGGATGATTAACAATTTACCAGGGGAGTTAACCGGCCAATTGCAAGAGTAGGTAAAACAAAACAAAAAAACACCATCACAATGGCTAAGTCCTCTGGTAAGCCACAACTTGGTTTGTCAAACCATGACATTTTTTCCAACCACAAAGTCATTACTAATGATGACCCCTCCCCCTCAAACAAAATCCCCCCCTCCCTTGGACCCCCCATTGCATTAACCCCCCTGGTGATCATTCCTGCTCTGCCACCACCACTTTTTCCCTCTCCCGTTTCTTCTTGATGCTGCCAGGTTTGCTGTGCCGTATTCTGTTCTCCTCCCTGTGGGAAAACACAAACATGCCATCAACGGTTTCATCAAAATCAAAACATTCAAATTGCTTGTGTCACAGTCAAAACCTTTGTGATAATCTACTGATGAAATATTTGCCTCATATATGAAGTTTAGGCAACCAGGTAATAAGATACTGACTCAGAGATAACAGTTACAGCAACTAGTTTGAAAATCGATCCACTTGCTTGAGTCACTGGAAACTTTTACTGAAACAAACAAGTTTACTGAATCCTGAGTTAAAAACACTTACATGTACTTGCATCAGCATTTTGCAGAGAAATTTTTGAAAACAGAGAAGAAATATGGAGAGGAAGAGAGACATACAGAAAAGACAAATCAGAAAAGTGTATTGTATCATAACCCCTGCTCATGTCAATACTACATGATTTCCAACGTAAGGCCGAAGAACCTAAAGCTAGTATGGGTTAATACTGATGATGATGTGTTGATGAATTGCCAAAGTCCAAGATACGTACTTCCTCCTGCGTGAGTCCTTCATAATCCTAGTCTGGCGTGTAAGATGATACACCTCCTTGGGGACGTGTCTGTGTCGGGCGATGCGTCTGACCTGTGGGTGGTGCTGAAACTTCTCCTTCAGTTTGTCACTGTACGTCAGGGCTGACTCCTCACGGGGGGTTAACTGGGAAAAATAAAGAATATGCATGTAACAACATTAGATAAATGTATGCACAGTTACATGTACATGTATGTTGTAAACTAGCTTTAAACTAGGGATAACACTGAGAAGACAGAGGTAGGTTGATGCAGACAACACAGATTGAGACCTTAAAAAGATAATCGTACCTTTCTACCATCTTAAGTTAGGACGTATTTACTAGTTATCTGAGAGCATAGATGATGGCACTACAAAGGCTTACCCTACAATGCCCAGTTAGGTAAACTGTAAATAGTGACAAAATGTCCTACATAAAGCTCTTTGCGAGTACATAACTCTGCAAACTTTAAGATACTTTAAGATGCACAAGCTACTGACAAAAAGTATTGGACAGTTTCCAATATATCCAGTTGCTTCAGTAACTGTTTTCTTGTGTACCTCATTACCTGGATGTCTAACCTACATCAACACAACTATAACAACTTGAAGACGTCTTATCTCCCACCTTGCCTATTTTCTCGGCAGCCTTGGCCTTCCAGATGCGGACGTTTGTCTCGTCGGAGCCGGACAGGATGTACTTGTTGTCCAGAGACCACTTTATACAGAACACCCGCTGCATCCGCTTGGTGTGGTAAACCTCCCTGTGGTGGGGAGACATGGTGTAACTTAATACACAGACACACACACACACAAACACACACACACACAAAACTCACACATACAGAACACCTGCTGCATCCGCTTGGTGTGGTAAACTTCTCTGTGAGGAGACAAGGGCATCAGAGATGGCAGACGTCACCAACATGGTAATAAACACTTGCTGGCTGGTATAAAGGATATGCAGAGCAGTAACACATTCACACACGCGCACGGGCACACACACACATAAGGACGTACACACACACACACAGACACACACAGACAGACACACACACACACAGACACATATACACTCACAAGCACACACACACTCATTAACACACAAATATCTCCTACTACATCATGTAAGCCAACACCACAGGGTGTCTTCTACAGAACCAGTTCCCATGGTGACAGACATCTGGTTCAGGTCATTGACCTGATGTGTTTGGAGAAAAAGAGGAAGAAGAGGAAACTGAGCAAAAACAATCCTCCCGCAAAGGCAAACATAACAAAAACCCGAATCTGAAACTGTGAAGTGCAGACTTTCCCTCAGAATCTGTTTTTATGTTGTTCCAAACCTGGACACGAAAACAAACAAGCGTACCTGCTGCGTCCCTTTTCCAGAGGGAAGATGCGGATGGTTTTATCGAAGCTGCCGGACACAAACTCCCGGCCGGTGGGGGAGTAGTCCAGGTCCAACACGGCGTTCACATGGTCCATGTGGATGTTAAATGGGGAAGTCAGTCTTCTGATGTCAAAACTGTACAGGCTTGGAGAGAAAAGGCAGGATGCTGTCAATCTAAGATGTAAGATACAGGCTAAGGTAGAACAAGGTGTGGACAATGTAAGATGATCTAACATCTTAGTCTTGAAAGCTCCCCACATGTACAGTAGCTCAACTTTTGTTGTGTGTTTCTGTATAAATATTTTGTCAAAAGTTAGTCTAATATCTTGAGTCTGGGAAAGGATGGCAAGGTATAGACTAAGATAATTAAATTGAATGTGAACTAAAGGGACAACAACTTGAACAAAAAATTAAGGTGTAATCAGTGCTAAAAGGGCTAGATGTACTTTTCCTTTTTTTGAACCCCACAATATTTCCAATCATTTCCCAATCAAGCCTATTTGTAAGTAATGACTAAGTTCCAACTTTGATAATGAAATTACTTGTGATCCTCGTTAGTGACAGTGAAAACGAAGGCCTCCATGGGGTTCCAGTATTAGTAAGTAATGACTAATTAAAGTTTCATGTTTAGTAATTAAAACTAACTTGTGATCCTCGTTAGCGACAGTGAAAACGAATGCCTCCATGGGGTTCCAGTATTAGTAAGTAATGACTAGTAAGTAATAACTAAGTAATGTTTAAGTACATGTAATGACTAAGTTTCATGTTTAGTAATTAAAACTAACTTGTGATCCTCGTTAGCGACAGTGAAAACGAAGGCCTCCATGGGGTTCCAGGCGAGCACGTTGGAGCGCATGTTCAGGATGACCTTCCTCAGCGGACTCGACCCTCGCGTGTCGTACAGGATGATACTCCTGTCTGCCGCACAGCTCGCTAGGTAGTGTTTCTGTAAGGGCAAAGGTTAGGTCAGGTCAAGTCATACAACTGTCTGCTGCACAGCTCGCCAGGTAGTGTTTCTGCAAGGGCAAAGGTCAGGTCAGGTCATACAACTGTCTGCTGCACAGCTCGCCAGGTAGTGCTTCTGTAAGGGAAAAGGTCATGTCAGGTAGAGTTCTGCAAGGTTGAAGGTCAGGTCAAGTAGTGTGTCTGTTAGGGTTAAAGGTCAGATATGTTTCTGTGAGGTCAGACAGAGGTTAGGTCAGATGGTGTTTCTTTAAGGTCAAAGGTTAGGTCAGGTAGCATTTCTGTAAGGTCAAAGGTCAGGTAGCATTTCTGTAAGGTCAAGGGTCAGGTCAGGTACTGTTTCTGTGTGGTTAAAGATTAGGTTAGGTTGGGTAGTGTTTCTGTAAGGTTAAAGGTCTATCTCCAGTATAGGAAAAATTTAAAGTCTTTCTGACATCCACTCACCTCGATGGGGTTGAACCTGACACAGTTGAGGCTGTCCACCCCCCATGAGAAGGAGCGGAGTGGTTCGGCCCGGGCGTGGTCCCAGATGTCCACCGTCTGCCCGCAGGTGGCGAAGGTCGCGTCCTTCCAGTGGTGGTCGATTCCGGTGAAAATACTCTGGGGGACGGGAATCAGCAGTAATACTGATTATCACTGATTGTCTCAGCAGAACAGTATATTTCTTTCACTGATCCCCTTATAGTAAGAACAGTTTCCCTACAGTCAAGTGCTAAGAGAAAGCAGTATGTACAAAGATTTTCAAAGTCTTTGGTATGACACCGCCAGGGATCGAACTCACAACCTACCGATTACATTCAACTTCAAGGCAAGCATTCTACCAGTAGAGTGCTTGCCTTGTAATTGGTAGGTTGTGAGTTCGATCCCTGCCCAAGTCATACCCACTTTGCCATTGCACCGGTTTGATCAGTCTTTGACACAGATTTTTAAAGACCAATCTGCCTAGTAAGATATATATAAATTGCTTGGGATGTGTATGAGTATATGGCACAGTTCTTGTACAACAAACATCATGCTTTTTTCTGCACCTCTCACCTTGCCGAGGATGGTTTGTACCGGCTCCTCCTCCTCCTCTCCAGCCTCCGGTGACGTCAGACTCCACATCTTTATCGTCTTGTCATCTCCTATCTGGGAAAAAAGAAAAGGGCTCAATAAAAGAGGTTCATCGGTCATGTAAGATTAACAGTTACAGTAGTAGAACATTCATCGATCACTGACTGTTTTGAAAGGTAGGAAACACGAACCCCAAAAGTTTCCAATGTCTACTGTACATCTTGATCTTCCTACTTTCTTTCTGAATCTTTACTAAAAACATCCATTATTTCTAACCAAGAAACTTGAGACACCGTCATTGTATGACCTTCAGCAGCATGGCTGACCCATGTGACCCCAGTGAGGTCAGAGGTGAAAGGTTATGCCCTTACCGACAGTACGTTGCCGTGATCGGGTGTGACACACATCCCGCGTACGAACCCCGTGTGTGCCTGGATCGTCCGGCGGCAGTCTCGACTCCCCAGGTTCCAGATCTTTATCTGAAGATGAGATTTAGAATAAAGTGATCCAGATTTGAAAATGAGATTATGAAAAAATGTGATGCTGATTTTAATATGAGAGTTATGAAAATCCAACACTCTATAAATATAACATGCCAAAGTTGCAAAATTGATGGCCCTTCTTTATATACTAATTGGTAGGGGCCTTAAACTTACCTATATTGCATCACACTACACATAAACACTTCAAACAATAAGCTTAAAAGGGGGTTCACAAATAATCTAAAGGATGCCCAGTGTCATACTCTAGTACTAGTAGTTGAAAGCACAGAATTTAGAGATACAAATACCTGTTTACGCCTTGGAGTTGGAGGCCTGTACCTTTGACAATGGGCATGCATTTTCTTAATTATGAACCTCCTAATTTTTATATTATGAATTTTCCACTAAGTTCCTCACCTCCCCGTCGCAGGCCCCAGTCAGCAGTGTAGACAGCGAGCCCGGGTGTTTGGCCATGCAGTTCACGCCGTCTCGATGGCCGTCCAGAGCGCCGACGAACGGTTTAGCGAACACCCGCTCCAGTTTGGTGGCGTTCAGCGCCCGCGTGTATTCTCTCGCTGCCTCGAACGGGTGAAGGGCAGGGTCATAGTTCCTGGGTACTGGGGGAAAGGTTAGATGTCATTGGACTGTTCCAAAAATCATCTTAATGTTAATTGTAGAAGTGCTCTCCAAGCAGAGGTTTGGGTTTTAGCTTTTTTGGCAACTGTTTCAAGGCTTTTTATGGGGCTTTCTTTTTTGCACTGGAATCTTTTCTACGCCAATCCAAACAACCCTTCTAATACTAGCACTAGTTGCAGTAGTAGGTGCAGATGTACCTTGAAAAATAGGGCACCAAATATTAGAGTCTTTGTTGAACTTGTTGAGTCCACGTATAGCGGAAAAATAGACGTATTTTAGCAGGCAGGCACAACAACAGTAAAAGCTGTTTACTAGAAATTTTGGAAACGTTTGTCAAAGTAATCAAATAATGTTTACAAACCTAACCACTACTAATACTATGCACATGTATGTACGCGCAGCTGTTTAGGGGGGAGGGGGGGCGCTAATACTCACATCTCTGGATGTCCCGTTTGGTTTCCCGTCCGTAGTCGTCTGGGTTTCTGCTCAACACCTTGATCTTCATCTTCAAGGATGTTTTCCGTCTTATCTGATCTGAAGTAAGGCGGTTGGTTCGACCAGAAAGTTAAAATTTCGGCAAAGTTTTTCTTCCGTCCATTTGGTGCACACGCTTTGGGGCCTCGCTTGTAACTTTAAACATTAGGCTGTCCGATGAAATTATTGTGACGCCTGTTTAGATTTCTAAAAGCTTCAAAAACTGCCATATGAAATTTAAATCATATATCAATACATATAATCCATTAATTCTGAAAGGTAATATCTATATTTTGATTCTTAAATCGCAAGAAAGGTATGACTTACAATCAGGCATAAAATATAGCTACGCCGGCGGTCTATATAGGTCCCTTGCGATCTTGTGACTTGGATCGGAAAACCAGAAAACTATCGTTAGTTTTTCACCTAAATGAGACATTTTTGAGCCGAAAATCATGAGTTTCTTCGGGTTTGGGACGACAGCTGATATCGACGTGGTCTTGGACGGCTCCCAGACGCGGAAATACGTCGAGCATAAGACAGAAGAGGGGAGAAAGGAGAAATATCCGCTGTACTATGATGGCGAGACAGTGGCTGGGAAGGTAGGAGGGGTGTGGGGAGGGGGGCGGTTTATGTGGAAATTGTTCTCGCTACGCGCAGGGAATACGTAATTGTTTAGAAACTGTATATTTATTGTGTAGCTGTCTTCATGATACTTTTTTTAAACGTTTAGTCAAAGTTATACATGTTTATAAAAGATGAATTTGCTGTCATGCCAAATAAAGCTATAACGTCAGTGTAACACTTTTACTAAGAGGGGGAGTGAGTGTGTGTTATGTGTGTCTTGAATATGTGAGTTTTTAAGCCGTTTTGTTTTAGATGGTTACCTTGTGAGTGAAACATTGCAATCATGTGGTGCTAATAGTGATCATTAATGAAGCTATAGTAAAAGCAGTTACTGAAGCGACTGGATATGACTTTGGAAATGGTCAGACATTTCAGGTAGTATCTACTACCTTCCATCAGTGACACTGTTTTTTGGTGTATCTTATTTAGGTTATTACCTGGATGTCTAAGTCCTAACCCCCTTCACTGATGTATCTCGTGTGCATGCCCTTCCTCTGGGGGTCAGGGCTTCCAGGGCCTCCTTGGTGCACCATCGCTGATAGAGTGATAGTATATGATTCGCTTGTTGGATGGAACATGGTGGAATAGTCTACCCGAGGAGGTAGTAACAACCCCAAGTGTGAACAGTTTTATAAATAGACTGGACAAACACATGAGAAGCCACCCAGTAGTGTACAACCCCCGGGCATTGGACAACCCCCACAAGATGACCATGTCTATGCAGTAAGCTACAAGGAGCGGCTCACAATGGAAGAGAACTTCCTACCGAGACGAAAGATCTACTCTACTCTACTCTTGTTGTTGTGTGTGTGTGTGTGTGTCTTCCTCAGCTGACATGTACTTGTTTATTCACATCATCTCCCACAGGTCAGTGTGAGCCTGAGTAAGGCGGGGTCCAAGCTGGAGCATCAGGGCATCAAGATAGAGTTCATAGGTCAGATCGAGCTGTACTACGACAGGGGAAACCACCACGAGTTCATCTCACTGGTCAAAGGTAAGGGTCAGAGGGGAGAGTTCATAGGTCAGAGTATCAGATCATGCTGCTCTATGACCTGGACCTCATCTCATTTCAAAGATCAGGTTATACTGTTAAAGGGGAGAGATTATAGGTCAGGAGTTGTATTAACAAGTATTTCTAGAATTTTGATTTTAGCATGACATATTTAAGATGTTTTACCCCCCTTTTGCAGAGTTGGCGCGGCCCGGCGTACTGACCCAGTCCACGTCTTTCGACTTTGAGTTCATTAATGTGGAGAAACCTTACGAGTCGTACACGGGAGCCAACGTCAAGCTCAGGTAAACATCAACAATAAACACAAGAAACAAGCAAGAAACAGACAATATGTGAGGTATTGGAGTTTCAACAGCATTGCAGAATAAAACTTGATATTGTGAAAAGATGACAGGAAAAATTTGGTGTACAAGATGATCTTGGTTGGTGGGGTCGTGTTGTGTAACAACAGCAGAGCATTTGGCTCAGAACCGAGAGGTCCTGGGTTCGAATCCTGCCATGTCACCATTCTTGTGCCCTTGTGAAAGACACTTTACATAACTTTCCTCACTTTGCTCAGGTGTTAATCATCATGATCAAACCCAAAATACGAAGTTGTGTAATTGTTGTAGGTTCTTGTGTCTAGATTGTAATGAACAGGTAACACACTGGATTTTTGAGGAGCTTCATACTTTCTTGTGTTGCCTCCAGGACTCCTAGCACCAAAAATTTAGTGAGGTTCCTAGCCATAGGTTGGACTGCTCTACTTCTAAGATAGGGGGTTTTGTGTGGTAGTGGACAAATGATTCACCACAGTAATATTTCTTGCAGATATTTCCTGCGCGTGACGATCGTGCGTCGACTGACAGACGTAACCAAGGAGATGGACATCGTTGTCCACACCCTCTCCACCTACCCGGAGGTCAACAACAGCCTCAAGATGGAGGTCGGCATTGAGGACTGTCTGCACATAGAGTTCGAGTACAACAAGCAGAAGTGAGTAAAGCATAGAATAAAGGGGTTTTCTTTCACACACCCAGTATTCTGTGACAATATTAGCAGAAAGGTAAGTTTAAATCTGATATTTGTGAGGAAAACACACTCTCAGTCTCACTATCCGTTTAACGTTAACAGTTAATATGTGGCATAAGACTTAGTGTGGATGTGCATGTGAGTATGAACAGTGTAACAGAAGACCCAGTCTTAAGTGTGTATACTACATAGTGTGAACACACCACTTAACCCTGTTTTCCTACAACATAGATACCAGCTGAAGGATTTAGTGAGAATACATGTGAATATGTGACATAAAATTGAGTATAAATGTGTGTGCTAGTGTGAATGTGCATGCTATAATATAAAGTGAATGCACGATTTAACCCTGTTTTCCTGTATAGATACCATCTGAAGGATATAATATTGGGAGCCCAGTGTGAACATGTGCCCCAAATCCTTGTGTGACTGTGAGTGTGCATGTCAGTGTGTGAGTGTGTATGCCAGTACTAAGTGTAAATGTGTGTGAAAAAAACTGAAACACGATTTAACCCTGTTTCCCTACGTATACCATCTGAAGGATGTAGTAAGTACTCTCACATGAATGTGTGACATAAGATCAAGTGTGAATGCGCATGCCAGTATAAATGTTTTCTGGTAGTGTAAACATGCATGCTACTTAGTGAACACACTGTTAACCCTATTTTCCCACATAGATACCATCTGAAGGATGTGATAGTGGGAAAAATCTACTTCTTGCTTAAATCGAGATGAAGCACATGAAATGAAACCCAATGTTAACATCTTATACATGTAGAAGACCAGTGTGATAGTGCATGTGTTAGTGTAAAACATCATTTAACCCATTTTTCCTGCATAGATACCATCTGAAGGATGTGATAGTGGGAAAAATCTACTTCTTGTTTAAATCGAGATGAAGCACATGAAATGAAACCCAATGTTAAGATCTTATACATGTAGAAGACCAGTGTGATAGTGCATGTGTTAGTGTAAACACATATGTTAACCCATTTTCCCTACAATAGATACCATCTGAAGGATGTGATAGTGGGAAAAATCTACTTCTTGCTTGTGCGAATCAAGATAAAACACATGGAACTGGCCATCATCAAACGGGAGACCACCGGCACGGGTGGGTGGTTTGTGTGTCCTGACACCCCTCTTCTGCTCAGTGGCACGGTCTGCACCAAGTTCTAACAATCTGTTGGTAGGACTGGTCCACCGTATAAGAGGGGTGGTCAGATTTATGTTTTCAATGGCTGCTGACAGTTGTAACTTGATACATGAACTAGAAACTTGTTCAGGTTGGCTGTTTTACTAAATTTTTTTTGTGAAGTTGAACTATGTATAAGTTAGAAATAATTTTAAGTCGGATTAAAAAGACAGCAAGTTTTTGGGTATCAAGTTACAACTAGTCCAAGATGCAGCCAGTAACCAGGGTCCTTTCTTGGGTGACATCGTAAGTAACTTGAAAAAAAATGTGTAAAAATGATTTCCAAGATTTTGACGCTGCAGTTTCCAATTTTCAGTCAAGACACATACATGTATTAGTTACTTGGTGATGTCATTCTGGGAACGACCTTGGTTAGTCTGACCTTGGCTAGAGGTGACCTTGAGCTTGTGTGTTCCGCAGGTTCCACCTGAGGGACGTAGTTATAGGGAAGATCTACTTTCTCCTGGTGCGCATCAAGATCAGATTGATGGAGATTAGCATTATAAAGAAAGAGACTGCAGGGACAGGTAGATAGCTCCCCCTAGCATGTCTCGCGTGAAGTGCACCTGAAACCGACGCAGTGTTTTACAGCATGGCGGAAACATGTATAGTGTGCCGCGGAGCATGCGGGTTGGATTGGGTAGTGCAGCTGTGCCTCCTAGCATGCGGGATGAGAACTGCAGGAGTTTGGCATGTGCCGTCTGTGGACATGACCCCAGCACTCCCCCTAGCATGAGTATTGTGAACTGCACACCATATAAGAGTGAACAAAATTCTGTCAGAAACTGTAGCCTTTTTGAGTGAAGAAAAGTTAAAACGTTAACACAGCCATAAAATGTCTTCAAGTTGCAATGAGTGTTTTTGATTGATAAGATAACATCATGCAAAATCTGACCAACTCAACTCAGTGTTGCCAATCCAAATACAATGTATGAATACTGTAATTTGTAGTTAATCATGTAAAACATTCTAAATTCCAATCTTGCATTTGATACCCTACCACAAAAACATTGGCATTCCAATGACAATGATATACTACTGATATGAAACAGATTTAGAACAAATCTTAAACAAGAAATATAGACAAACTTTAACCGACATAACTTTCATAGATACTTGAAGGCTGTTCCAGATACTTAAAGATCATGTATCCTTCTAGGCCCGAACATCTATAACGAGAACGAAACGGTAGCGAAGTATGAGATTATGGACGGCGCGCCGGTTCGCGGGGAGTCGATCCCGATCCGCCTGTTCCTGGCCGGGTACGATCTCACGCCCACGATGAGGGACATCAACAAGAAGTTCTCTGTTCGGTACTACCTGAACCTGGTGCTGGTGGACGAAGAGGAGAGAAGATACTTCAAACAACAGGTAAAAAATGTTATAGAATTTCTCCCACCTTCAAAAAGATCTCACCTTCACAATCACATTCCTTAGCATTGGCCTGGAGTCCAGTCTTGCTAGCTTTAGCTCTCCAAGATCTGCAAGACCGCAACCCCAGCTTTGGCTAGTGTGGACTCCAGCCTTGTTATGTTTACCGAAGGAAAACTTATTGTTTTTGCTGCGTTTCTTCTTCTTCTTCTCCAAACAGTGACTTCTGACCTAGCCAATAACCTGATTTGTTGAAATCTGTCACCATGGTAACTGGTGTTGGGTTGCATAATGTTGCAATTTTATAGTAGGAGGGATTTAGACTCCTGTCAACATACATGCATATGTGAATGTGTTTGAGTAAGATTTAATAGAGCAGACCATATGCGAAGGTAAAGGTTATGCATTTGCTTTGCAAATGTTACTTTCTAGTTAGATTTAGTGTGCCCTCACCAGGTCCAACATATGTTTTTATTTTATTTTTCATAGATGATGTTTTTATAACTATGTGTGCATTTCTGCTCCCAACAGGAGATAGTGCTGTGGCGTAAGGCTGACAGAGTTCGCACTGGGGGACAGGCGGATGAGTCCACTGCATGGGGGAGGGACTACCAGGCTTAGGGTGGAATGGGAGAGTCCATTCAGGATGGGGGAGGGACTACCAGGCATAGGAAGGAATGGGAGAGTCCATTCATGATGGGGGAGGAGAGGGACATCTAGTGAACCTTGTTACTTTTGTTGTAATGTTTAGCGTACATTGTATTTACAATTATGTGAAGACGATAAAAGAATTGTATGAAATGTGACCAATTGTTATAACTGATTAGAAACATGTAACTGCTCATTTAAAATAAGACTTTACCTGTTACTATTATAATAGCAGGATTATACATAAAATTTATTGTACCTCATTTCTTTCTACTTTTCTTTCCCAATGAAAGAAAGAATTACTTTTATGTTTATTCTAGAGATTATTTGATGAATGCTCTATAAAAGAGAGCAGTCTTTTCTCCTTGTGGCTCTAAACATGTCCAAAAATCCAGACATGATACGAAATAGTGGGCAACTTTAACTGGTTTATTGAATGTGATCTGTCAAAGTTTTCTTATCTACTAGTATTGAGATAATGTAACAGTTAATTATGTTGTGGTCTGTATCATGATAATACAGAGTATGGATTCAAGAAACATGAGGAAATATGTATCTAAATTAAAAAGTTTAAATGTAAAAGTTTAAAAAGTTTAAGTGAGTGAAATGAAATTAATCTTGTTCTGCCTGTTTTTTATAATAAAAGTTAAGTATTGGGCTCTTCGCCCAAATAAACGGAATCAAAGATTAATGTTGTACAGATAGCTTGGTTCGCTGTACTCTCCAAGCAGAGGTTTAGGTTTTGGTGCATTTGTGACGTTTTTAACAGGCTTTCTCTCTTGTACTGTTATCTCTGGGATAATGCTCTGCCAATGATAGTCTCTGCTGAAAGTTAAGTTATAGCAGCATGACTGAGCAGGATACGTCACTTATTACAGTCAAATGGCCCATTTATAAAGAGTGACAATCACTGAACTACAATGTATTTTCACCCAATAGCTAATCTTTTCCAGAATCACAAATTTCACACAACTGCAAGGTCTCTTCCCACACAAATCATTTGCATTGAAAATCTTTAACATTTCACAAGCGGTCAAAGGTCACCTGTCCTACATGCTGTATAACAGCAACATATTCTAACACCAACAGGCTGCTTCTAATATCCGACACTTTTTCTCACATACAAAGGCTGCTCATTAACGACCGAAATCTTGCGAAAGATTTCTTACGCAGAAGAAGTTTCGCAGCGGCGTTTCCATTACCAGTGGACAGTTCTGCGAAATTCTGCGGGACGTCCCGCAATCTTACGCACGGCCTTCCGCAATCTTACGCACGGCCTTCCGCAATATTTCGCACGGCCTTCCGCAATATTCCGCACGGCCTTCCGCAATATTCCGCACGGCGTTTCGCGATATACCGCAGGATGTACCGCGGTATTTCGCAGAACGTCCCGCGAAAACTGATGCGTATTTCGTGGCCTGTGCTGTATACATAGACACCATGAGTATTCTACTACCATTTAAGTCAATTTAAAAAAGGATACATTCTACAGTATGTAACATTCACCTATCATACACACTGTTTAACTGCACACCATATATGCATTGTGTTCCTTTCCCACAAGTTGTTCCTGGAACGTCATTATCAAATCATTTGCAATAGAAAATTCTAATCTATAAGATGTTCTAACACACCAACAGGCTGCTTCTAATATCCGGCATTTTTTCTCACTTCTTTGGTTTCTGAGAATCCAAACATCAATCTGGAACTATCTCTATATCTGTACATAGACACCACGAGTATTCTATTACCATTTACGTCAATGTCAATAAGGTTAATTTGTTACATTTCACAATATGTAAAATTCACCTATCATGCACACTGTTTGTGTTCCTTTCCCACAAGTTGTTCCTGGGACATCATTATCAAATCATTTCAATAGAAAATTCTAATCTATAACATCTCAACACCAATCTGGAACTACCTCTCTATATCTATACGTAGACACCACGAGTATTCAACCACCATTTAAGTCAATGTTAATAAGGATAATTAATTCTACAATATGTAACACTCACCTATCATACACACTGTTTAACTGTACACCATATATGCATTGTGTTCCCTTCCCACAATTTGTTCCTGGGACATCATTATCAAATCATTTCAATAGAAAATTCTAATCTATAACATTTTACAAGTGGTCAAAAGTCACCTGTACATACTGTATAACAACAACGTATTCTAACACACCAACAGGCTAATATCCCAAACATCAATCTGAAACTACCTCTCCATATCTATACAGATGCCACGAGTATTCTACCACCATTTAAGTCAATGTCAAAAAGGATACATTCTACAGTATGTAACATTCACCTATCATACACACTGTTTAACTCTACACCATATATGCATTGTGTTCCCTTCCCACAAGTTGTTCCTGGAACATCATTATCAAATCATTTGCAAAAGAAAATTCTAATCTATAACATTTCAACACAACATCTGGAACTACCTCTCTATACTACTAAAAAAAGTATACATAGATACCACGAGTATTCTATCACCATTTTTGTCAACGTCAATAAGGATAATTAATTCTACAATATGTAACATTCACCTATCATGCACACTGTATAACTGTACACCATTACTTGAACACATGAGCTGACGGCTTCTGAAACCCAACAATTATTTTACAATACTTTGACTCCTGAACGGTCATATTATACCCAAAGAATACTTCTGATCAAAGACGTGTAAAATCAAAATATTGTCTATTAAAGTCTTCTATTTACACCATGTCTGATGCTAAAGACGACAGGCATTAGTCATAACTGAGCTGATTCAGCAAGCTTGTCATGACAAACCTGTACATTTATCTTTGACGAATGTTTTGAACGAAACACATAATGAAAATTTGGCTACTTTGGGGGACGCGACAATCCCCAGAAGTGTCACTTGACAAAAACACACATACACTTATCCTACAAACACTCTATATCTGCTGTCAAATTCTCATCAATGTCCACCCTCCAACATTCCTATGATCTTGTATCAAAGACAAACTTAACTGCGGGCTGTTCTCACCGACTGCTACTCGTCAGAAGAAGGCGAGATTCCACCGCTTGGCATGTCGTCTGCAAGACAATTGCGAATCACGTGTTAGTGTTGCAAAAGTTTGTTGATAGAAAGTGTGACAGAAAGTGATATTCTCCTGAACATAACAGGCTTGAGAGATTTTGGTCCTTGATGAGGAAGAAAGGAATACAGAATGTACATGGAATACGGTCTAAAACATACATTAAATCAATAACAACACAAATGTCAAAAGAATTGCTGTACCTGTGATACCGCAGGCTCGCAGGAACTCTCTCTCTGAGTCCTCCCAGTACTTGGACTTCTTAAGCGCATCTTTGAACTCCTTTGCCTGTGTGAATGCCTTCTTAGTGTCCCTCAGAGTTTCGCGGATTTTGTCAGCCCACTTTCCGGCAGTTTTGTCCATGTCGCTGTCTCGCACGCTGGTCTCCACGATTCTGTTCAGGAGGCCCCTTGGCAACTTCTCCTCGTCAACGAGCTTCTGGATCATATCCGCCAGTCCTGACTTGTCGGAGATGAGGACGGGGATGCCTGCTGCGATGGCCTCCAGGCCGACCAGTCCAAACGGCTCGGAGCGGGACGGCATCAGGACCAGGTGGGCCATCATCATGTCGTCCCTGATGTCCTCCTGAGTCCCGTACGGATACAGGGTGGGGTTCAGGTCGGGGCTGTTCAGGTTGGCCACCAGGATCTTTAAGCTCTCCTTCCAATCATCCTTGCTGATGCCTCGCGTGATCCATTGCAGATCCTTCAGATACTTTCTGACAATCCCAATGGCCCTTGCCACAAGGTTGTAACCTTTCAGATTCTCAACATTCTTCACTCTTCCGATACACAGGACCACCAACGCACCTTTCCCGCTTTTAGGTTGGATTTTGACTTCTTCAAACAACTTGGATGGCCTCGGGAAGAACAGGTGGTGCTCTCTTGGTTTCTTGCCTCCTTCGTATTTAGGAATAAAATGCTTGTAGATCCGCTCTCCCACAGAGAAAGCTGCCTTTGCGTTGTCAACATGTTTAAGCATTTTCTTCTCTATCTCCCAAGCTTCCATGGCCCTCTGCCCCCCCTTGAAGTACGCGGTGTCCTCAGGTATGACGTGAGTGAACGTTACGAGGTCTGCCTGTGGATAGCGGTCATCCTTGATGTTTCGTGCTGCCGTATCTGTGATGTTGGCATGGCCGATGATGCATGTGACGTTCTTGGGGAGGTTTTGGAAGTGGTACCTGTGACTGTAGGTCAGCCAGTCTAAAGTAGGCTCTCCCTCCCTCCCTCGTGGATCTGGCCCTATCAGCGTAACGTCGTCTCTGTTTGCTGCCTCCTGGTCTTGTTCGGGTACATTCAGCTGTAGGACTGTGGCATACACGACTGCCTTACCCTGCAGGGTTTGGCTCGCCTGGCAGTTGACGGTAGAAACTCCTCCCTTGGAAGTTCCATACTCGTCGTTGATCAACAAGACTATGGGTACTTTACAACCTTAAAGAAACAAAGACAAATACAGTACGAAAGGATAAGCAGGCTCGTAGTACGTACTTGGTAACTGGAGGCAAAATGAAATCTGGCTATCTACACCTGAACAACGATATGTTGTGTATATTGAGTAGATATTTTTTTTCATTTATTAAGCCTCACAGATTTTAAAATCTGTAAGGGGCAGGCAACAGAAAAGCTGGTTTCTCTACGGGGCCGGCTCCTCAACAGAGATACAGCACAATGACAACAAAACATCTAAATAACAACTAAATATCAAAACTAAAAAAAAGAACTGTAATAAACATGTAACAAAATGGCAGGACTAAAGAAAGGCGTTGGACAATATCAAGAGGTGAGGCAGTCATTACATCGGCATGTGGAGGACCAGGTGCATAATATTATGTTATCGGTGCAATATGTGGAGTTTGCCAGTGATATGTAATAAGTAACTAATAATGTCCTAACATAAGAGATGCTGAGGTTTGAGTACATGTGTTGTATTGTTACAGGTAAAGTGTTCCAGATGAGTACAATACGACTGAAATATGAGAAGGTAAATGTTACAGTTTTATATAGGCGCATAGCAAATTGAAATTGGTCGGTGTAGCGAAAAGATCTACTAGGTACATTAACTTTAACAAAACGAAACATATCAATGGAGTAAAACCCACGAATACGCTTGAAAATGATGCTCCCTTTGTAGATTAGGACGACCAGACTACTGTTCTGGTATGTTTTGAAATTCAATACAAAATGATAATCATGAAAAAGGACACCGTCTGTTGATGCCTAAAACTCACCCTTTGTGTCGTCGGTCATGACCTGCAATGGATTAAAGGAGAAAGGTGTTAGAACTGTTGAAGCATTCTTGAAGTTGTAGGGTGCTATTCGACAACAAAGTATAACACAGGAGAAGTCATAAATACCTGCTGAATGATTCTCTGTAGCTTCACGTCTGAAACTTCCCCTTCTTTCATCTGTATCTCCTCACATGCCAAGTTGTACAGGACAGGAGACCGTTGCTTCAGCGTCTTGAGCATCTTGTCTCGGGGGCCGTGTGGGTGTGGGGTGTATGGGTCACACTGTGGGTACAGCAGGATCGGTAGGAGTAGCTTCTCATTCTGAACTGGGAACTTGTAGGCGAGTTTTGACCAGTGCCTGTGAGTCTGGGGACTGATGACCAGAGCAACCATTCTGTTTTTGGTGTTAAACAGAAGTTCCACTGTTTTCTTTGTGACGGTGTCGGTTGTTGTGATGACCTCCGTGTGGCAGGGCAGTTCTGACTTTCCAGCGGCTGTCTGGAGAGATTGGGCGAACTCTGTGCAGTCGTTTGTGTGGAGGATGGTAAGCACTTTTCCTGCCAGAAATAAGGTAACACCCATTTCTATCTGTGTAAGGATTGAGTTTTAGAATGCAGGTAGATTCAAGGCAGAGAAGAACGTACCCTCTACCAGGTTTGGGGAGGCGGCTGGAAGGAGTAGAAATCGGCCAAATAGAGAGA